AAGAATATTTTAAAAGGAAGTATATCCAAAAACTTATTAAACAAGCAATATTGTAGACGGTGCCTGGATGTGGTCAAAAATCTTCTAAAAAAGTTTTTCCCAGCACTCCTCCCTTGTTCATCCTCCTCTTCCCTGCTCCACGGCGCTGTGCAGCTGCTCACGGGAGCCCCGCCTGGAGTCTCAGGCTTTGTGATTGCTCACAGACTCTCCCAATGCCACATTCTTGCCATCTTGACCATTGCTACTCCCCTGGTCTTCATAACTGCACTCTGACACCCACGAGAGTGGCCCATGACTTTTTTCCTAAATCGAATGCCAGATTGCCACTGAAGGGCCATTTTCCATAGAAATCCGCCTATGTGCATGCTACCAGCCTTCTTTGTGCTTCTGCAGTGTGGCTACTTCTCTCAGGACTGCACCTTTTAGGAAAGGAAATCATTCCAACTCCAACAGTCTGCCATAGGTGTTGAAGTTAACTGGACCATCTCCTACTCTTCACATTTCAAGTATTGTGTTACCTGACCTTTTGTATCGATGACAGCAGTAAATAACCTATCGTCCAACTCTTTTGCCCATTGATGCCATATGTTAGGCAGTAGGGTCTAGGCAAGAGGAACCCTGGCTGTGAGGGTTGAGGTTCTGAGTCAGTATGACTGGTCCACGGTGCCCCATGTGTTGGTAGGTAAGCGATGATGTAACCGAGCAGTTATATAATGTAGACATCTTAAATTTTGTGATCTTATGTGATCATCTTCCATTTTCCATAACACTGATTTTTGCATGATGGCCTGTTCTTTGAAGCCTAACCATGTTGGTAAGTGAGGAGTGGGTGTATTTTCCCTTGGGACATAAGAACATGCGGAAATTAAGAAGGTGGATTCTAAGGTCAAACTCCTTGAGTTTAGAATCCATTTCAACCATTACTGGCTTAATGACCTTTTTAATAACTGCGAGGGTCTGAGATTTTATTTTGTTTGTCAGCTAATTAATTAGCTGTCAGAGTTGCACGGATACTGACAAAAGACACAAGACTCCTGGACCAGAGAAAAAGGACAATTTATCATTCACCGAAGTAGTCGTCGTCAGAATGTCAGCATTTGGACAGGCTCCTGAACCTCAGCTCTTATAAGGTGATGCAAAGAGGGACAGGTGACGCCTGCACATCCAACGGAGCAGTGATTGCCTGACAAAGAGGAGCCTTCGTGTAAGGAATTCAAATATTTCATAGACATCCTGCCTGACTTCTGCTCCAGGGGATGATCTTATCTCAAGGGTGCTGATAATACACCATTTTGCCCATTGCTAGAAGGAAGGCTTTTTTTCTACCTTCTGAAAGTGTTCACCTATAAACAACCTCGAGAAGCGAGGAGCCAGTGCCTCTGCGAGACATGTAGACACACGAAAGCCTCATAGACAGTGGTTGCTCAACAACTTCACGTTAGTTCTCAAAGCCCGAACTGCCTCCTCTGAAGAATGAAATGGATTGCATTAATAGAGGTAATGGTGAGGACCCAGTGATAGGCATGTGTGAAAAGCTTAGTCACACACTGACAGATATCAAGGGCTTCTTCCTTGTTAGTTCTTACACATCATTGTTTCTTGAATAAGAATTCAGGACATGTATTGAATTCTTTGTTTACATTAAGAAATAGAATGGTGTGTCGCTCTGATATTACTAATTACTTGAATCACTAAATTTTAACCTTAAAGGAAGTTGACATTTTGCAGATAAGGAAGTAGGTTCAGAAAGGTTAAGTGACTTATTGAATTTCACATAGAAAAGACACAAACAGGACAAAGAGCATCTCATTTAAAATTCAAAAATGTTTGTAATTATACACAGTGCCTGAAGCTCAAGAAATATTAGCATTAATATTTTCTAATATGATCTGTTAGAAAATATTTCACATGCTTTTTTGAAAACCCCCTTCTCCCTACTTGCTTGACCTACAAACCACTTTAAACTTGGACCTTGCCAAATAATAATCATCATAATAAAAGCATGTGAAAAATTGAAAAATGGCGGAGAGTTAAAATATGTAACCCAGATCCCCCCTTTTCCTCCTTTTCTCTACCTCCACCATAATCACTATCTCTATGGAGGACTGAAGTCCAAAGACGGAAAGGAAAATGCATCGAGTACGCGTAGATGATGTTGATCAGAAGTGATTCCATTCTGACTGAAAGCCAAGAAATGCTAGCAGACGCTCTGGCAGCTTTCCATCAACAGCTGCATACTGGGTTATCATCAGCCTCCTGGGGCATGAGGGGGAGGAGTGAGGAAGGGGAAGAGAAGGTGGATGACAGACCACGGAGCTCTAGAAGGCATCATGCTGCGGAATAAGGTGACCTGGATTCCTGTGTGGGCTTGAGTGAGTTCCTGTGTTTCCTCCTCTCTGAACTGTGTGTACTGTTCTTCCAAGAGGAGCGGCTGTGAGGTCCCAGTGAGGAAGCGCAGGGAGAGTGTCTGGCACACAATAGGTCCCGTGAGATATTAATTTACTTTAAATCAATTAGTGTGAGGGTAACGAATGTACAAATGTGCTTTACACAATTGATGTATGTATGGATTGTGATAAGAGTTGTATGAGCCCCCGATAAAATGATTAAAAGAAAAGAAAAAAAATCACTTCAGTGAAGATCTTAATCCTGAACATATTTATAAAAATCGACTCGATTGATTCCTATCGCTTTTCTCAATCGTGATCTCAGTTCTCCTCTCCCTTCTTTAAGAGGCCTTCTTTTAGCTTCTATAGCATTCAGAAGAGTTTTCAGGGACCCTGGGTCAGTGAAGCACAGACAGGAAGCCAAAGAAAGATTTTAAAGATAAAGAAATGATAAGGAATGTGAATGATCCTTCTTTTATGCAATGACCGGGGACATGCATTGCCCTTCATCGTTTGTCCAATTCAAACACCCTGCAATCACCCCTTTCCAGGTGCTTCTGTTCTGCATGCCCTGGGAGGCGCTCACACACACCCTGCAGCAGGGAGACTCCCAAGTGCGGAGGGTGCGGCACTGCCCTCTGCTGGGCGCTGAGGATCCTGCTCTGTTTTGCCTTCCCAGGAAGTTGCTTCATCCCCCAAACCAAACCACACTCATTGGTATGCAGCTGATTTTGCCCCTTAGCGACTTTATGTGGGGTTTCCGAGGCTGTCAATCTTGAGGGGGGCGATAGTCTCACCTTTCTTCAGTGGAGCTGCCAGTGGTTTTGTGTTAATCGGGTAGACTAGAGAAACAAATTCATATATACGCATGTGTGTAGGAAAGACACTCGTGTATGTATATACAAGAGCAATTGAATATTGAGAAAAACAGCCCAACCCAGTCCAGATCAAGTCCATAAGTCTGATATTAGCCCATATGTCCAATACCAATCAATAAAATCCTCTTCAGACTCATGAAGCACATGCAATGATGTCAAATGCAGGAAGATCACAAGCCAGTGGGTGGGAAGTCTTGTGGATCCAGTGGTGTTGTGAGCATCTAAGCACTGGCAGGGGTCTCCATGTGGCGTCCCCAGCTCCCCGGGCTCTGGCTGCATCAGGGTAGCTTCACGTGGTTTCTCTTCAGCAATGTCTTGCAGGGAGTGAGCCTGTGTCCCGCCTCCAGCGAGCTATTTATCTGCTTAGTGCCTCCAAATGAGGTCATCAGGCTTTGACCATGACAGGCTAACTCCACCCCTTCACTCTCAAGTCTCAAATTGACAACAGATTATGTAACTACCACAGGTTTGAACCTTGCGCCAACCTTGTGGTCAGCAGTCCAACACTTACCAGCCAGTGCCACCACGGCTACGTGGAACCAATTCATAAGGGATGTGGTGGGGGTGGGGGGTATAGATTGTGGTATGAAACATGTCCCTGTTTCCTCCTGCTTCAGAGAAGTTCTGGACCAATGTCACTTTCTTTCTTTTATGTTGTGAGGAGTTTAGGAAAATATTTCTTTTTGTTTTATGTGGATCATTCTATTTTTCTGGAATCAGAGATTCTGAAGATGAATTTGAGTGGGATTTCAGGACAGTTACTGAAAATACTGGGGGAAAATGTTTTTTTAGGCCCGTTATACCTTTATTCCCATAGGAGTTAACTATTAAAAGACTTTTTCAAAGGGGGCTTTCATAGGATCATCCCATCGGTTTTGATTCATCAACTGAGCAGAAGACACACTCTTTTGCAGAAGGCTACTAAGAACCCTGACACTGCAATTCCCACTGAACCTAGCACACCAGATATGTTTAAATCTCATAGCTAACAGAGTTCTGGCTTCCTGGTGAGATCCCTGCTAAACATATATACGTACAAAGGAATCTATTTATATCTTGCTTACCTCAGATATGCATTTGGGTACGAGCCTTAAATTCATTCACTTCTTTCTTATCCATTTATCAAAGAAGGAAATACAACATGGATGAACTTTGACAACATTATACTGAGAGAAGTAAGTCAATGACAAAAGGACAAGTATCGTATGATCTCACTAATATGAGTACAATAGGAAATATATGGAGATCAGGGTGTAATAGTGGTTACCAAGATAGGGAGGGAGGAGACTTATTATTTAAAAAGCATTGCGTTTTTATTTATACACATGAAAAATGCAGCCACGTGTATTGGTAATTGGTAAACAACATGGCTGATATAACTGATCTCCCTGAAATGTGTATGTGAAAAATGGTAAATTGGCTAATGCTGTGTTGCCGACATTTTTAAGACAACAGAAAAGGAAAATAAGATTATTTGACCCTATTTCTTGCTTGCATCATAGCTTTCATAGTTTGTTACTTTACTTTTTGTCATCGAGAGAGACTGTGTCTCCAGTAAAAGCTTGAATCAGAGTATATCATAGGTAACTCTGAAAAATTCCTTTCTGACGTTGTTGAGATATTATCACTGACTCAAGCCCTCGGTTGAAAGAGAATTATGACAATCACGAATATGCAGGAACCGTGGACTCGGATTCAGCAATGTTTTAAGGTTTGAAAAATCTCTTTGCTCCAGGTTATGCAGATGTATCTTCCTTTCTGTGGAATCGCCATATCTAATGCTCAACTCTTTGCTGCCTCAAGGAAGGAATATGAAAGAAGCAGGGTGAGTGGAAAGAAACATCACTAACACTTCTCAAAACTCTGTCCTTCTGGTGTCCTTGAGTCATTCTGACTTTTAAAAATGGCAGATGTTCTTGGAATTGTTCAGCATTTTTTTTTTCAATTGTGCGAGTGTAATCTTCGTCTGTTTGATGATACTTTTTACTCAATATGCCCAAATGGAAATGGATTCAATTTTGGGGGTAGTTACTTGGAGGGGGTCTAGTTTCTTTCAAAAAGGTAATTAATTTAAAATCTATACTGTAAGGCAGCAGATCTATCCTTACTTATTCATGGCTTTGGAATTATAATACAACTTGGTGATTTTTACAATTTATTTCCTTTAAAAAATAGATGTGCTCAAGAAGTAAAATAGGTATGCTCATACTCTCTTAGCACTGAACGACAAAGAGTTTCATGAGGAATGGAAGGTGTAGCTGGGAAACACTAGGGAAAGGTACAAAGTGTTCCACCGTGGAATTCAGAGAAGGGTCTTTATACTCAGGAATCAAAGGACAGTTTAGTGATTGATTATAAATAGGATCAGCTGGAAGTCCTTTGAAATGTAAAGGCCAGCCGCTAGGTTAGGGAGGAATGTTACCACTTCCGTGTGAGAAATCAGTCTGTTCAGTTATAATTGATTATAAAATTGTAGTCAGATGTTCGTGATTGCAGTCAGTTTCAGGGGCAAATTATTTACATATTCTTCCTAAATTGTTTACACCCTGACTGGTTTGTTTACTTATGAACACCTTCCTCCACAGAAGAGTCCTTGACAACTTGACACTCTTCCTAAAGGGTTTATATCTTGAGCTTTCCTTTTTTGAGGATGCATAGTGGCCCCATCACGTTTAGGCTGATGTGAGTGCCTCCAGTTAGAAACGTTTTTCATTTAGTACATTTCCCCCTTTTGATCAAGCCTCTACTAGGAGGCCTCTACATAGTCTGCTAAGACTATGTCTGTTTTCTTAAGGAACTTCATTATGTTATTTTCTTCACCTTACTGATGTAACAAGCCTTCTCTTCAGGGTGAGTAGATCTTAATAGACAAGGACACCATGGAGGAATGAACGGTTCCCAGTGAAGGCTTACTAGCAGAGATCAAAATGAAACATAGCCAGGGAGACAAAAAGAAGGTGATTGAGCAACACGATCATTGGTGAGAGCCTATGATTTGATAAGCAGGGTCAAAGAAACTGAAGTACAAAATTCCATGAATTAATCAAATGAATCGAACTCAAGAAAACAGTATTTTATCATAATAATAGAAACAATGAGGAGTATAAAGAGTCCAGAATTATTATTATTATTTGCAGTACCACCCCAAGAGCTAAACCAATTATTTATAATATCAGTTGAGGAAAAAACAGGATTATTGAGATTTAATATGGGAAACAGTGCATGATATGGACATGACTATCAAGAATATAAAATAGCAATCAGTTTTAATAATGGCATTGGTGCTATCTTAGACTAGGTCCTCTACATGAACAAAATTAATTAGGTGTCTGTATATAAATCAAGGAAATATCTCTTGGAGTTGTATGGTCTGGAAAGTCATAAATTTATGAGTCACACATCAGACTGGAAGTTCATCCTGACTCACTTGATTGTAGGGACTAGAAAACACCAAATTGGCAAATCAGACAGCTGGTTGCTGGCTAGAAGTCAAAGGATGATGAATCAATGCAGGATCAAAAAGTGTGAGCTATACCAGAAAATCTAGATATATTCAAGTACACCATACTCCCAAGGAAACTCCCCTTTCTTCTGATTGTCTGCTTCTATTAGATCACAAAATGAAGAATGATTCACAATATCTGCCAGACTATTGAGAATCATGGGCTAGCCAAGTTGACACATAACTTTTGCCATCATATGCATACCTACTTCTACGGCAGTAAAGAAGTCAAAGGTTCTTAGGTTTTGAAAAACTACTTCTCTCATCATAATATTCATGGGCAGAACAATTTAAAACATTGATTATATGTAGTCAGAACTTCATATCATATATGTTGTAATATATTCTAATCCTATTTGAGGTACCAAAATAGAAGCCAAATTATTATATGATTGAATACAAATTTGGAGTAATGTAAAAGAGGAGTGTAAGCTGGAGGTAAGTCAGTTAAGATCCAACCTGCAATAATAGTAATGATGAATGATATCTATGAGTTGATATATAGGTAAACATGCCAGTTGAGTGGATGTAGGCAGGTGAGTGGAGCATACGTTTATATATGTTTGACAGAGCATATTTTTACATATGTACTTGTAGATGCTGCAAATACACCCAAGGGTTTAGTCGAGTTTGCAGGGCCCACATTCTGAAAACTTCTTAGCCATAAGTAAGCACCCTGAAGGAATGGATTTTGGAATGTAAGGTCACAGTCTCAGAGAATATCTAGGTCAATTGACATAACATAGTTCACAAGCACAATGTACTACATCCTACTTTGGTGAACAATGACTCGTGTCTTAAAGCTCAGAAGGCAAGGAGAGTTGGGAAAGAAGGATGAATGGAAAAAGGGAACCAAGGAGGAAGAAGAAAAAGTGCTTTTACATCAGGGGATTACACTGAGGGGATTACAACCAATGTCACAAAACAAAATGTGTATAAATTATTGATTGGAAAGCTAACATGCTCTGTAAGGCTTCATCCAAACCATACTAAAAGCTCAAAACAAAAATAAGTTAAATGTAATGCAAAGCCAAATGAAGTCATTAAAAAATCAGAAATATAGGGAAAAAATTTCTCTAAATATAATAATTAATCTTTAAAAAAAAAAGACATTCAGATATAGTACATAATAATCTTGGTGTACAGTGCCAAATAAGATATAACAAGAATATAGTAAGATTACCAACGTCCAAGATTATCAAGTTCTGCATAGTAATAAATAGGTCATGAGTAAACCATGTGAATTTTTCAGTTAAAACCATTAGGTTCAACGATGCTAGATTCAAAGGAAGTAAAGTTGTTGTCAAGTTAGTAATTGAAATAATAAACTTTTGACATTATTATGCCCTTGTTTAATATCAGGCAAACATTATTGTTGTTAATGGTTTTTAGATGCCATGAGTCTGTTCCAAGTCATTTTGACCTTAGGGGCCATGGAATGAAATATTTTCCAGTCTTGCACCATCCTCACAGTTGTGCTGTTTGAGCCCATTGCTGCAGCCAGTGTGTCAATCCATCTCACTGAAAGTCTCCTTTTCACTGACCCTTTACCAAGAATGAGAGTAAAGGACTGGTCCCTCCTGGGAACCTGTCCAAAGATGAATTCTCACCATTTTAATTCCTAAGGAGCTTTCCTACCCATTTGTTCATTCTTCTGGAAGTGCATTATATACTCAATATTCAAACGCATCAGTTCTTCTTTGGATTTCCTTATTCATTGTCCAGCTTTCACATGCATATGAGGTGATTGAAAACGCCATCGCTTGGGTCAGGAGTATCCTAGCCCTTAAATTCTATCCTTTCTCTTTAACACTAACGATTATTTTGCAAGAGATTTTTCCAATGCAAGAAGTCATTTGATTTGTTGACTGTTACTTCCATGGACATTGACTGTGGATCCAAGTAAAACAACATTCTTGACAATTTCAATCTGTTTTTCATTATTGGTCCACTCATGCCTTTAAAAAATATATTAACGTGCAATCCATATTGAAGGCTGTAGTATTTATTCTTTATTAGTAAGTGCTTCAAGTTATCATTTTTAGCAAGCCAGGTTGTACCATCTGCATATCACAGGTTGTGAACATGTCTTCCTCCAATACAGATGTAATCCAGTTTCTCAGAGCATTTGTTTAACATACAGATTAATAAAATATAGTTAAATGGCACAGTCTTTTCCTTAAATCATTTTATTGAGGGCTCGTATAACTCTTATCACAATCCATACATACATCCACCCATTGTGTCAAGCACTTTTGTACATTTGTTTCCCTCATCATTCTCAAAACATTTGCTTTCTACTTGAGCCCTTGGTATCAGCTCCTCATTTTTTCCTCTCCCTCCTCCATGAACCCTTGATAATTTATAAATTATTATTGATGCATACTTTTCCAGATTTTAAACCATCCCTTGTTCTAGAGCAATGGCTGCTCCTAAGTCTATCTACATGTTCTCAGCATGAGCAAAGTTGTTTTCTGGATTTCCCATTCTTCAGAATGTTATCCATAATTAGTTATGATCTATGCTGTTGAATGCTTTTGCATAGTAAACAAACACAGATAAACATCTTTCTGGTATTTTCTGCTTTCAGTCATGATCAATCCATATGATGTCAGCAATAATATCCCTTATTCTATGTCTTCTTCTGAATCCAATTTGAATTCCTGGCAGTTCCATGCATATGTACTGTTGTTGTAATCATTTAAGTTACCTTCAGCAAAATTTTACTTGCCTGTGATTGATATTAATTATATTATTTGATAATTTCCAAATTTGGTTGGATCACCTTTTGTTGAAAGGGCTATAAATATGGAACTCTTACAGTATTTCAGACTTAGTGGCATATTTAAGTAAGGGCTTCTAGTGTTGCATTTGTTTGTTAAAACATCTCAATTGGTATTTCATCAGTTCCTAGAAACTTTCTTTTCCTCAGTTCTTTCAGTGAAATTTGGACTTCTTCCTCAACACCACTGATCCTTGCCCAGTGCTGACTGTGTTTGGCTGGGTTCTCTAGAGTAGTAAAACCAGCGATGCTTATAGATATAGAGAAAGAAATCTATATCCAGGGAATTGTTCATACAGTTGTAGAAGCAGATGCATCCAGTCTGGTTCACGTCTGTGGGCCTGATGTTCAGCTGCAGGCTTTTCCTGACTCACATGGCTGCCAGGGCTGACGAATCGATGAATTAGAAAACAAGAAGACTGCAGACGGGTGGAGGAAGGGGTGGATGAATTCAAGTTTGACAAGTCAGGCTCCTGGAAGCAGAGTTGGAAGAATCCAATATGGCACACCACCGATAGCTGCCAGGGTTGGCACGTAAGAGAGCCAGAGGCAACAGATGCAAGATCTGGAACAGCAAGAGGAAGCAGGGAACCTTCCCACAGAGTCTGCCACCCCGAAGGAGACTTTCTTCTCATTGGATCAGGCTGTGGCTTGATTAAGAGTGGAGCACTCCACCTCATCGCTCCAAACAGTTTTGGCTGCTCAGAGTAGTTGATTACATCATGTAATTGATAGCATTAGCTTAGATCACCTCATGGAAGGCTCTTGACCCAGCTAATCTTGACACAAAACCTAACTATTACACTGACATTGTCAGCAAACATTTCTAACACACACATTTTTAGAATCCATATCACAAGACAGAAAAGAGACACCATTTTTCTCCAAATAGAAAACAACTGAAATTTTAGACAGCCTCATGAAAAACAGTCATTTCCATCCATGACCTCCAACCTGATGCAAGATAGAAACTCAGTCACAATCCTCTAAACCAGAGACAAGGACTCAGAACAAAAATGAAACAGAAAGATCATGTAAATTCAAAAACAAGTTTTATCTAATACCACACAACACAACCAATCCACTTTCTTTCAATGTATGTGATTCCTTTGTAAGACCAATTCAAAGCAACAGAGAAGTGAGTCTTTGATAACTTACTAAATCATCAGGGTCTTGGATGGAGAGAAATTAGAACTTGTGGCAACATCTGAGCATCAGACAAAGTTCCCCAAAGGAAGAAAAGACAACAAATAGGAACTCTTTATTCCCCCTTTCCCAAAATAGAAGGAAAATGAGCAGCTAGAAACTCATTTTCTCAAAGTCATCACTAAAATTCTAAATTACTTCAAATATATTCAGTTTATGTTTTGAAAAGGATTTAATCAACACAAAAATAAAAAGCAGTATTATAAAATTAGTTGAGGCCAATGCATTTCCTACTCGTTGGAATCAATTTTAGCTTAATGAAACTGGTGCTCTTGTTGGTTGGGAATAAGTAATCAAAAACACCTACCATTTGACTTTACAAGTGTATATAAGGAAAGTTACTCATTATACTTGTATTTGGATACATCCTCATCCCATGCACATGTCAACTACTTAAAAAACAAAATGCAATATCAAATCCTTAAAGTAAGCGTTCAGGTTCCAGGAAAACAATGCTAGCTTTATAGTCTAAAGCTTTCATCAGCATTAAGTCAGTGCTGCTGAAACAACGCCTGGAAGGTGGACGGTAATCTTTTAAAGGTCCTTTGCATGTACATATGGAACCAGGGACACTTTTACTATTCCCTCATCTTTCTATGGCCTTATAGATTTAAGGAACAAAATGAAAATGAATATCCATTCCACATCTCATCCTTTATCTCTAGAGAAGATAAAACATTTTTTTAAGGTAGAGTTTATCTCTTAGTCCACATTTAAGGAAATGGTCTCTTAATGTTTGGATGCAGGTGCTCTTGTCTTCTACATGAAACTCCAAACACACACTGACATTCGGCATCTAGTCAAACTCTTCAAGTGTTCTTCAAATCAGTGAAATCTGAGATTCTTAACATGTTCTGTGTCAATAAGGTGTGGAAACAGTAGAGTCGATGAAGATCTGATTTTTCCATGCCACACTGGATTTCTAGCCACCATTTGGATTGAGTTTAAACGATGGTGGAGTAGAGGTGTTTTGTGGCCTGAGTCTCTTGCCAGTAGAGGTGCAGAAGGAGAGTGTGACCATGATGAGACTGGCTGTACACTGCAAAGCACCTCCATTTTCCTTAGTGGTGGCACTAGTTGGATTTGTGGCAAGCAATTTTTCAGTTGGCGGCCAAGACTATTAGCCATTTGTTCCATCCAAGAATTCCCATTAGCATATAGGTAACCCAGTTGTGTGGAGTAAGGAAACGAGGGTCCAAGGATGAACCCGGGAGCAAAAGAAAGGCAAGAGAAGAAAGAGTGGGTGGAGGGGGTGGAGTGGGGGAGCAGGCAGAGGTACCGGATGTTGTGTTCTGAAAGTCAAGCCAAAGAACCTTTTCAAGAAGCAGGGAACTGGTCAACTCTGCCAAGTGAGCCCAGGGTGTGGGAACTCATTTGTATTGCTATTTGTAAAACTTTCATCACTTGTTAGTAAAGCAGCAATTTTTTCATTAGAAACAATCAAATTACTATAATGGGAATTGTCAGTGCAAGAAGCAAGACACAATTAGTTTTTCCTCTGAGACAAATGTTCTTGTTTATAGATCCCAGAGGATCTGTCTATGGAGTCACAACAAATTGAAAAGTTAAATAATTGTTCAGTATGATCCATTGTTCAATATGATCAATCTGCAGAAAAAACCTGGGTATTTAAGGGATATTTTTCCTTGACAGAGATTGTTGTTTGTAATTATTCAGACAATCGCTTAATTTTTAAAGTTATATTTGAGCATGATATTATGGAGCATGGACAATCATCTCCCTCTCAAATGCCACACAGTCAAGACACACTCAGAATTTGGGAGTTCATAGAGCAATCCGTGACCTCTCATCCACTCTCAGAATCTTTCTCCAGAAACAGCACTCCCCAGGACATTTAGTCTTTTTTTTCAATTGCACTATGAACTAGGCTTGCTTCATGGATTCCTTAACTCATTCAAATGCCTTTGTTCTCAAATAGATGCAGAGAAGGAATTTCATGGTTAAAAATGGTTCCTGGACAAATTAAATTAGTTACAAATATTGAAAACGAGTCAAATCCCTGGGCTAATGAGTAGCACGATCAGCCCTGGCAGCACAGTGGGTTGTACGTTGGGCTGTTAACCACGAAGTCAGCCCCTGGAAGCCACCAGCCTTCCCTCGGGAGAAAGACAGACATTCGGCCCCCCGTCAAGATGTGCAGCCCGGACGCAACAGGGGGAGTTCTACTCTGTCAGCAGGGTTATCATGAGTCAGAATTGACTTGATGGAAGTTAGTTTGGTTTGGTTTTTCTGGTGCCCAAATAAGGTATTTGAAAAGTCATGAAATCATTTTGTGAGAGGTAACCTGCGGTTTCATATCTTAATAACATCTATGAAATAAAGTATCATCTGGCCTGATGCCTGAGCAATTTTCTGATTGTATTCTCATAGAAGCTTAATAACTAGCACCTCTCCATGGTCCAGTTTTCTCAAATCTGTGGAAATAAGCATGTCATAAAAATTTCAAACAAATATTATTTAATGCAAAAATGACAAATTGACTTAGTTGGACCAAATGATAGACTTTTACCACTGGATTTTTGCACGCAAACACAGATCTCAAGTTAGAATTTAAGTTTGCTTTTTAAAAAAATCATGGGCCTTTCATCTTGTTGTCTGAATGGATGTTAATGTTGTTTTCCTTCCTGAGACATATAATGGTGCTTAGATGTTCTCCTAGACTGATTGGAATGAAGCAATACCTCTTCTTTCTATACGGAGGGATTCATGGAAGCTTTTTATATATATTTTGAAGGCCCTGAACCTTAATTAGCATTCACTTCTGTTCTGTGGGAGATGTGTGTTAGTGAAAACAAGATTTAAATTTGAACACGAAGATATTTCTTCCTGATGGTGAGGAAGAACTGCTTTGTAATTTTCTGAAATAAATATGCTTCGGAGGGAGACCAGCCACTTGTTCTTCAGAAAGTATTTGAGCTTCATCGGCACATTGGAGGATAACTAATGTGGGAAGGGAAGAAGCTTGTAGTTAATGGGTATATGATCCCTGTTGCAGGGACTGACAGGAACCTTAGTGGCACAGAAAGAAAAACAACGCAAACCAACCAACAACCAACCAAATCCACCCCCTTCCTCCCACACACAGCTTTTTACCTACCTAACTAGGTCCGTTTCATGTTTTCTAGGCTTTACTCGAGGTGGTCAATGACCTCTTTGAAGAACAGACTGACCTGGAGAAGATCGTCAAGAAAATAATGCATCGGGCCCAGACTCTGTTGAAATGTGAACGCTGCTCAGTCTTACTCCTCGAGGACATTGAATCACCAGTAAGCGATCTTTCGTTCATTTTTCTTATAGATTTGATGGCTATGTAAATGGGCTAAAGTTGAGTGTGTTTGTAATTCAGGTGGTGAATTGGGGCTTGAACTGCCCTCTTCACGGCTGTGTTGTTAGGTGTCGTCATTAGCTTGGACTCACGAGAAAAGCCCACGGGAGAGTGAACAAAGGTTACGACCGCTGTCTTCTTTCTCTTAGAGGAATACTGCCCATCATTCTAATGAAAGAACAAGGATCAGACTGTTACAGTCCATCTATCTGGTGGTGGTGCTTAGGTGCCAGCCAGTTGATTTCCAACATATAGTGACTCCCGGCGACAGAGTGAACTGCCCCATAGGGATTTCTAGACTGTAACCCTTAAGGAACAGATTGCCATAGGTTGGAACTGCCAGCCTTTCAGTGAGTGAGCAGCCTAGTACTTAACCACTGCATCCCCAGGGCGTCTACCGATGGCTCTAGTAAGTCCACGAGGGTAAGTCTAAAAGTACTGCCACTGGGACTCCGGTGCATGCATGCACAATCCAAACAAAACCTGTTGAAACATGTCTCTGTGAGAGTGACGGCTGCAGAGGAGTTGGCTCCGTGATCCACTTGGCCATCTCGTGGCGCTGCCTTAGAAAACACGGCCCCATCCAAGCAGTGGCTCTCAGGGGCTCTGCTGGGCCAGGACAATTGAAGGCAGAGAGGTCAGTTCAGAGGATGGCAAACCTGTGCTTTGAGATGCTTGATAGATTTTCTCGAAGGACACACGATGATCATGGGGGCTTCTTAGGAACACATCTTATACAAATTGAAACTGGCATTTCGGAGGGAAAAGACCAGGAAAGTTGCACAAAGGAATGCTTCCCCATCAGACACAGAAAGGGCTGCAAGGGCTGGCCTCGGAGGATTTCACTGGGAACCCTTAGCCCGTGTACCCAGCAGTCCTGACCTTGCCCACCCTGCCAGACTTGGGTTTGTTCCCCAAACTCAAAGGACATAGAAAAGAAATGCAATTTGAGTCTCTCACGGATGCCCCAGCTGCCAGCTGGAAGAGTGGAAAAGAAAGAGCCCAGGATTCATTGGGGAAGGCTTCCAAACAAACCACCACACCCCCTGCCTTGCAGTCAGTGCCGGGGGTTCACAGCGGTACCTCTTTACAGGAGCCAATGGTGAAGCCTTCTCCCCTGGAGTAGCTGGGGGTTTGAACCATTGATCTTACACTTAGCGGCCCAGGACCTAACCCACAGTACCATCCAGGTTGGAGAGGTGGAGACACTGCCTTCAGAAGTGTATAAACCTAGAATGAGGACATGTCAAGAAATAATAGTTTCACGTTTTCATATTTTTGTTTAATGAAAATTTCTCTGATTTTTCCATAGCGATACTTTTTGACTTACCATGTACTTCAAAATGATCCACAAGGCAAATACTGTGTGAGGGCAACCAGCTTTTATAGAACTAGAGTTTTTGTTTCTCTGGGGTGCTTTGTCGGAGTGCTTTTGTGCTTTGCTGCCACGTTAGCCACGCAGACTCATCAAAGGACGTGGGCCTCGGGGACGTGGTCTGGCTCTCTGATGTACAGATGATGAATTGAAGGAGCTAAGTGGTTTGTTCAAACCCATACAGCAAGCCCTCGGTAAATCAGAAGATGAACTTGTCTCTCTTGACTTTTGTCGATCGCACACACGATCTATCCCCATCAAGGGGGAAAGCCCTCAACATTTACAGGAGTGGGCTTCAATCCAGTGCGCTCTGTTGTTGGAGCCCATTCAGAACCGACGTCAGCTCTGTGGAACGGCAGCCCCCAGCCGGGCTGTTCTCGGCACCAGGGGTTGTGCTTCTGAAAGCACCATTGCAGGTTCTTTAACGGCTGCTCTGGAGCCTGGGGGTTCTTGCGCTGCGGAAGCTCTCCAGGTGGGGGGGAGCTCATTTGGACTTCAGCTCCAGAGTTCCTGCTTCCTCAAAGGGAAGAATCAAATTAGTTCAGGGCCTCCGACCTGCCGCACCTTGATTATTCGTGGCTAGCTTTCAGTCTCTGTGAAATGCCTTTGGCTCTTTGGGGAAAATCTGCTGGGTAAACATGCAATAACATTGAAAATAATGATCATCATCAATCTAACTTCCTGAAAGTTAGCTTTCTAACCCTTGGTGGCAATTTAATATCTTTGCTGTGAACTCTCTTCAAAGACCAGCAATTGTGTAATGATTAAGAACTATTGTAATGCCTCAAAAATTATATTTTCCTGTACTTTATTTAGAAAAATGATTGACTTTGCCTTTGGGTTTGTTTTCCCCAGTGCATAAGAACCTAAGGGTACATTTTGGTGATTTAGTAATAAATGTTACAAAACTTATATGCACTGGGCTTTAAAAAAATCTGTTTAAGATGTTTACATATTTCCCCCAGGTTTTTGTAGCACTTGGAGTTATTTTGACTTCCTCGAAGTCGGGCAGGTGAGGTTGACAGACACAACAGACTGACAAGTCTGTGATCTTGTAAGACTCAGCTGAATGTTGGGAGGACATACACACACATGTCAGTAGTGCATGTTTATGGCATGCCCCTAGATGCTGTATCACTTGAGCTTAAACCTCATCACATCCATCTGACATTGATCTTGTGCACAGGGACAGCTAAACAGAACAGAGTCCAAACCCATTCACTGCCATCAAGTCAATTCCAACTCACAGTGACCCTATAAGACAGAATAAATTAAAACTGCCCCATTGGGTTTCGGACACTGTAAATCTTTTAAATTAGTTAATTGATTTTTAAAAATTTAATACTTTTATTAACATGTAATTCACATACAATACAATTCAGTGGTTTAAACATGAAAAGGCTGGTGCAATCATCATCACAATTGATTTTTTCCTTCATTCTTGTACTCACTACGATTAGCCCCAACCTTTTGTCCCTATATATTTGCCTATTGTACATTTCATCAAAGAAAAACATACAAAAAACAAAAACAAAACCAACCAAGAAAATAAATATTTCTAATGGAAGGAAATCATTTTATAAAATTGAAGAGTTTTAGATTTGAGATGAGTTATTTTTACTGAAAGCATTTAAACAACTCAGATATTTTTAACATTATAAAGGCATGTATATATATGATTGAGTAAATCCAGAATTCAATTTTACCCTTCCCTTAACACTTATGACCTTATTATCACACCTGTTACTCTCAGGATGCTTCATAGACAGGCACCATCACCCTCTACACTCCCTGATCATCAAAGGGCTTTTTACTGTGACAAGTGCTATCTCTCATTTTAGATGTTTATAATGAATAACAATCTATATAACAGCAAGCAAACATTGTAGAAAAAAATGTCATGTCAAGGTATGACAAGGTATGTCCCCAACCTTCCACACAGCCTAGTATATTGTTTCAGGGGTGGCATTGCACAGAATAACTAAATTATGGACTTTCAAGTTCCAAAATGGGGTGTTAAATTTATAATAGCTTTGTTATTCTCGAAAACCAAGACTTTATTTGCAAGAGTCAGGCTATACTAAAAGCTTTGAAGAAATCAGGGCCCAAAGTTATGCCAAAAGCAACAGATTCGAAAGAATATAGATGAAGCCCTAGTTGACCCTCTGTTTTACATTGCCTTTTGAGCAGCTATGCTGTTGGGTAAGCACTGCACTGTTAGGCACAAGGTTGATGATTCAAACTCACCAGCTTCTCCACAGGAGGAAAATGAGGCTATCCACTCTCATGGAGATTTACAGTCTTGAAAGCCCTATATAGGGTGGCCATGAGTAGGAATCAATTCAATGGCCATAGAATTGGTGCATCTGTGTGGCCTTTAGAATTTATCATCAATACACAAATTATATTCGCTAATCAATCCATCATGTTATTGAACTGTCTTAATTCATATTCTCTACTTGATCTCTAGGTTCTAATATCTGTACCAATAGCTACACAGAAACTCACAGACAAGATTCATAATTAAAGGGTTTAGTAAGGAAGTCAACAAGTTGTAATGCCAATGAGAAATATAATAACAAAAGAAGTATTTGAAATGAGATGGCTGGGAAAGATGATGGATTATTTAGAAATCTTTAGTGAGAAAATGATTGACAATTTCAAAAAAAAGAATTGCTGGATTCCTACTTCATTCATACTAAAATATGATTTTTAAAAGGCAAAGTCATGACTCATGCAAATGTGAAATACATGCATGTCGAAGATTGTTTTAATCAACAATTAATGAGGAAGCCAATAAAGTTCTAAAACCCATCCAAAGCATTGAGAAGCAGGGTGGTTAAGGTCATGTTTTCTAAGAAGAAAAACTAGTTAATGTTCAATAAGGCCATGATTGTAATCTTTAAGGTTGTATTTCCTATCATTAAGAAAAAAATTGTCCTTCTACCAGATAAAACACCACAAGTTACAAGTTAGCTCTGGATGTAATGGTAAACAACGAGTATTCCTTAAAATCAGTGATTGGCAATGTCTGTGTGTGAATGATCACATATAAATACCTTAATCCTCGCAGACCATAGAGCCTCTATCGTAGCTATTCAACACTGCCATCATATCACGTATGCTGTCATGGTAAATACATAAAGAATGAACATGTCTGTGTCCCAACACCTTTTTTTTCTACAAAAATATGTAGGTGGTGGGATGTGTTAGGCCTGCAGGCAGTAGTTTGCACAGAGCAAGTTTTGAACACTTGAAACAGTATGGGCAATTGCCTGTGCAGGCTCAGGGGTGTGTCCTGAGTCCTCCTTGCTGCCATAGAATCACAGGCGAGGTGTGATAGGACAAGGAACTATAAACCACAAGGATGTCAATGTCTCAGGTTAAATGAAAAGTCAAGCAATAAGTCACCCTGTACCTGCTAGTTTGGGTCAGCTAAAGACAGCTCAAGGCTTATTCGTCATACAAGAGGATCTGTGACTGTGGGGTTTTACGGGAAGTACAGTAAGTACAGGGGACTTCCAGGTAGGCAGGAGTGAAGATTGGTGCCCATAGGAGAATATTGG